AGTTATAGCTGTGACCAGTTTAGTTACTATTAGTTATAGCTGTGACCATTTTAGTTACTATTCAGTTATAGCTGTGACCAGTTTAGTTACTATTAGTTATAGCTGTGACCATTTTAGTTACTTTTAGTTATAGCTGTGACCAGTTTAGTTACTTTTAGTTATAGCTGTGACTATTTGAGTTACTATTAGTTATAGCTGTGACCATTTTAGTTACTATTAGTTATAGCTGTAACCAGTTTAAATACTATTTGTTATAGCTGTGACCATTTTAGTTACTATTAGTTATAGCTGTGACCAGTTTAGTTACTTTTAGTTATAGCTGTATACAGCTAGTTTCCAATAGTTCTGTGGTCGCTTTACTCCAATAACAGTCTGTACGTGTCCCATGGTATCGTTTCTGTATTTTTACATATTGACCCAAACCTGTATTGTTAATTTACAGAGAAAGAACATGTGACATTATAATTATATAATGTTCATGACAGTTGTTTGTTTGAAGAATTTGTACAAAAACTAGATTGTTTTTCATTTTGAAGACAAACTATCTCATTTAAACCTTTAGCAAGTTTCAGGTAACAAGAACACACATTATATATCATTGTTGTAAGAATGTGAAGCATTTAAAAGTAAAACTTATCTATAAGTTTGCAGATATTGACAATATCCCTGCTGGGAGCTTTAGATCACGAGATAAAACCTTCAGGTGTTTTCATGCGATTTATGAATTGATTTTCTTCAACATGTATATTTTTCTTGTTTTCTAAAAACTTAAATGAAAAACCCTACAGAAAAAGTATATTGAGAGTTTGTGAATACAGCACACAGGCAGGAAATTATCCAGGTTTTAGGAGGAATCTACCATTTTGCTGAAAAGGGGAATTTATTCAGATACAAAGAAACCTTTTCAAGTAAATATTATAAATATAAAATTCAAAAAAATATAATTGAAATTAATGAAAATTTAAAATCTTTGCTACATATATTTAAATATTAGTTTCTTTGCATAACATGTTTGCCATTGATCACCATGGTGCTAAAGGAATTTTAGGACAAGGGGGTCAGTGTTGTGTATATGAAAAAGGGTTTCTTAGGGGCAGAGGAGCAGGGCTCATTAAAAGAAATGGGGGTTGATTTATGTTAAAGACTACTGATTTGTTTGTGCATAAAAATGTGAACCCAGTACATTGCTATGGAGCATCCCTGGACCAAGGGGATTTAAGTTTTTATATATGTAGGATTTGGTAACCTATGGAGCATCCCTGGACCAAGGGGATTTAAGTTTTTATATATGTAGGATTTGGTAACCTATGGAGCAGAAAAATGACGCTGTATATTGTACATATGATAATGTTTAATCTGTATTTATTGCTGGAGATTTTGATGCACAAGTCAAGAGTTTTGTCATCTCTATGATAGCCTTTAATGAGTGGACATCGTCGACAAAATGAGAAAATGTAGTAGTATTCATGCAGTGTTGATGTGACAAGATCAGGATCGAGGTAAAGGACCTCTATGAAGGTGGCGTTGAGTGGGCGTCCTGACCAAACAGGAGATTCAGTGAACTATATAACAGATATTTTATCATTTTTAAAGTGTAATTCATCAATGGTTTTGGGACTAAGCAAATGTTTTAAGGATACAGGCCTTGGAGTATATTATACAAAAATTGGAGTATACTATACACAGATTGGTGTATACTATACACAGATTGGAGTATACTATACACAGATTGGTGTATACTATACACAGATTGGTGTATACTATACACAGATTGGAGTATACTATACACAGATAGGTGTATACTATACAAAAATTGGTGTATATTATACACAGATTGGAGTATATTATACACAGATTGGAGTATATTATACACAGATTGGAGTATATTATACACAGATTGGAGTATATTATACACNGAGTATACTATACACAGATTGGTATATACTATACAGAAATTGGTGTATACTATACACAGATTGGAGTATACTATACACAGATTGGTGTATACTATACACAGATTGGAGTATACTATAATACACAGATTGGTGTATACTATACACAGATTGGTGTATACTATACACAGATTGGCGTATACTATACACAGATTGGTGTATACTATACACAGATTGGAGTATACTATACACAGATAGGTGTATACTATACAAAAATTGGTGTATATTATACACAGATTGGAGTATATTCTACACAGATTGGAGTATATTATACACAGATCGGGGGATATTATAGACAGGTTGGAGTATATTATACACAGGTTGGAGTATATTATACACAGGTTGGAGTATATTATACACAGAATATTATACACATGCAGATTGGAGTATATTATACACTGGTTGGAGTATATTATACACTGGTTGGAGTATATTATACACTGGTTGGAGTATATTATACACTGGTTGGAGTATATTATACACAGATTGGTATATACTATACAGAAATTGGAGTAAATTATACACAGATTGGTGTATACTATACACAGATTGGAATATATTATACACAGATTGGAGTATATTATACACAGATTATTATACACATGCAGATTGGAGTATATCTATATTGTAAAGGTGTATTTACAGGACCATTCTACCTTTTGTACCTTCAGATACAGTCCATGTTTACTGTACAAACATGACAGAGACATTTAAAAATTCCTGTGTGCTATCACCCTCGTTTGAAAGTCCCAACCCTGCTAAAGTCCCGCCACTCCAGGTGAGTACGTAATTGTCTGTGTGACTGTATTAACACATGCATGTACTCATTAACCCGAAGTAAACAAGGGAGGTAACTCCATTTTGATATTGTGTAGTGCTTTGATTGAAATACCTGGCATCGCAGGAGCTAATTACATCACAAGGAGATGTGGGGATGGTGTAGCTGTTGCTTACCTATTATGCTGTGTTAAACTTAAACTTACTTACATCTGTTTAGCCATTGATCTTAACTTGGCAAGGGGTGATAACTCAGCTCTAATTATGCAGAGCTTGATTTATATTCAGGGTTTTATAGGAATTAAGTACATCAGGTGAAGATGCTAAGATGTTTTAGCTGTTCAGCATACCTGTTATAATGTGTTGAGTGTGGTGTTTTACTAACATCTGTTTTACCATTTACTTTAAATTGGCAAAGGGAGATAAATGAACTCAGCTCTGTATACAAATTGCTTGGATTTATTATCTATTTACATGACATGGAGATGTGGGGATCTTTTAGCTGTTGCTTACTTGAATATGTCTCAAATTTGCCTTGTTATTATTATGTCCCTGTTTGCAGCTTGGTGTTAAATTACATGTTGAATGAGGATTTCCAAACAGCTCCCTGTAAAACATTTAAGGGTCAGTCTTGATATGTAGTTTGTAATATGATGCATCAGTCATGTAATGGAAAGTCATCATTTAATTAGGATGAATTTGTTGACATATATTTCTATTCAGCTTCCTTAATATGGTTTGTATCATGAAGGTATCCGATATAACTCAAGATTTTAAATAATAATAATAATAATTGGAGATTCTTACCACTTTATCACAACCTAGTTCATAGGTCGTCTCAAAGTGGTTCACAAATTATTATCCGTGGTTATAGGGCCTCTGCAGCCAGCCAACATCTTTCTCAACTCCCAGGGGAGCAAATTACAGCCAGTGTTGCCATTTTGGCACTCACAGGTAGCATTCAACAATTCTAGCACTACCCAAGCCCGTACTCATTTACAGCTTAGTAGACTGGAACAAGCGGAGTAAAGTTTCTTGCTCAAATAAACAACACAGTGTCGAACCTGCAACCCTTCTGTCACGGCCCGGCATCCTACCACTACACTACCGTGCCTCACAACCCTTCGGTCATGGCCCGGCGTCCTACCACTAGACGACCGCGCCTCACAACCCTTCGGTCATGGCCCGGCGTCCTACCCCTAGACTACCGTGCCTCAAAACCCTTCGGTCACGGCCCGGCGTCCTACCACTAGACTACCATGCCTCACAACCCTTCGGTCACGGCCCGGCGTCCTACCACTAGAATACCGTGCCTCACAACCCTTCGGTCATGGCCCGGCGTCCTACCACTAGACTACCATGCCTCACAACCCTTCGGTCACGGCCCGGTGTCCTACCACTAGACTACCGTGCCTCAAAACCCTTCAGTCACGGCCCGGCGTCCTACCACTAGACTACCATGCATCACAACCCTTCGGTCATGGCCAGTGTCCTACCACTAGACTACCGTGCCTCACAACCCTTCGGTCACGGCCCGGTGTCCTACCACTAGACTACCGTGCCTCACAACCCTTTGGTCACAAGCCTGGTGTCCTACCACTAGACTTCCGTGCCTCCATGTAAAACATGTTGTTAACATGTTGTTGTTGACATTTTTAATACCCTTGTTTGATATTTTTAACAAGTTGTTTATGAAATTATTAAAATGCTGTTATTAAAATTAATATGTGGACTTTTATTGGTTTTGTATATATATTTATAATGCTGCACTTTTAGCTGGGTCTTTACTTATGTTGTACTAAACCCTAAAATGGCTTTCAGTAACCTACACTCCATTAGCTTGCTCTAATTACACCTAAACATTCAGGCATATAAGTATATTTTAATATTTGGTTGATTGATGCTTTCTTCAATGATAATAATTTCATGGTCCTCAGATCAAACATTTGTCCTGTGACTGACTATTCGACTGTGAGTTGTGCTGTGGCGCCCCCTATTGTTCGTGTTAACGTGTTGATAGACAGCCATGTTCATACTTTGTTATCCCAGTAGCAGTGTTACATACACTGTAGGAATCTTGTTTTTGATGAGATAAAGTGTTGGTGACAGACGGTTTTTGTCCCTGTATACTTGTATGTACTATAGATTTCAGATACTGTTACATGATAGCAGTACAGTACTGTAAATATTTAAAAGAAATACCTTTTATCTATATTTTTTTTTTTAAATGCTCTTTAATATTATTATATATCTCTAGAAACAAAATATTGTTGAAATTATTTCTGTCTGAGTTGGTGACTATACTGTGTTACTTGATTTACTTGTCTGTACCAAACCTGTGTGCCCAAACGTTAATATGAGAATACCTTGAGTTCCTGTTTATTATTTTAGAATCCTTCAACAGATTTAATGACATCACTTAAGCAAATTCATATGTTAGCAGATTTTGGTCCGAAACAAGATGTCATTATGAAAATAATATTTGTATAATGAGTTTTTAGGGTAAATTAATTATCACTAAGATGTAACTGTAAAGGAAATTGTTACTAAATTAATTGGTTTATGGTGGTGTGGTATCTTTGTTTGAGAGTTATCAGATTTTCTTAAATAAGAATATATTAGTTTTCTGTTAATTGTATAAATTTTCTTTAATATAATTTGTATTGAAATTTCTGTATCATCTCTATAATTTGAAACTATAATTATAATACTTAGAGTGCTAGAATTTTTTTGATTTTCAGGTTGTATAGATACATCATTTTTAGTTCACCTGCCCGAAGGGCAAGTGAGCTTATGCCATGGTGCGGCGTCTGTCTGTCTGGCGTCAACTTTTTACTTTAAACAACTTCTTCTCAGTAACCGAAAGTCCTAGGATGATGATATTTTGCCTGTAGCATGCTGGGATGGAGGGCTACTGAGTTTGTTCAAATGAATGACCTTCATCTATTTTCAAGGTCACAGGGGTCAAATATGTTAAAATCTTTGACCGACTTCATCTGAATAACCAAAAGGCATAGGATAAAGATATTTGTCCAGTAACATGCTGAAATGGCAGGCTACCAAGTTTGTTCTAATAAATGACCTTGATTTATATTCAAGGTCACTGGGGTAAAATATGTTTAAAACCTTTAAAAAACTTCTTCTGAATAACTGAGAGGCCTAGGGTGATGATATTTGGCCAGTAACTTGCTGGGATAAAGGGCTACAAAGTTTGTTTAAATAAATGACCTTCATCCATTTTCAAGATCGCAGGGGTCAAATATGTATAAAACCTTTAAACAACTTCTTCTGAATAACCAAGAGGCCTAGATTAATGATATTTGGCCAATAACATGCTAGGATGAAGGGCTACTGAGTTTGTTTAAATAAATGGCTTTTTTTCCATATTCAAGGTCACAGTGGTCAATATGTGTTTAAATCTTTAAATGACTTGTTCTGTATAACCAAAAAGTCCAGGGTAATAATATATTGCTAGAAGCATGATGGGTTGGAAGACTATAAATTCTGTTCAACCTAATGTCCTTGTTCGTCATTCAAGATCACGGGTGTCATATGTTTAAATATTTTAATAGGTTCTTATTAATCAAACACTGATATTCTGCTGGTTTCGAAGCATTATGCTTCCATTGTGGCACAGATGACAATGTGGCTACATCTGAGGAAAACTACCCCATATGCCAGAACTGTTTGGCCAATGGCAAGGTCACTGTAATTAAAAGAGGACGATAATTAATGTGTAAAAGTAATGTGGTGTGGTGTATTTATACCAAAAGTTAGTACAGATATATATGTGTACTGAACAGTGAAATGGTGTTCAATGTGTATACTGCATACTCGAAGTTGTTATAAACAAAAAATAAAGACAAATGTACACTAAACATGCGCCTTTATTGCACTATTTTAACACATTTGCAACCATTTCAAATTCTAGGAAAAATAAAAAATAAAAAATAAAATTTGCCCCCCCCACCCCGCCCAAATTTAAAATAAAAAAATGGATGAGAATCTAGCAATTAATTTATTATGGCCTAACTAGAGTTTTGAATCTCAGCATGAAGACCTTTTGTAATTTTGAAGTATTGTTGTAAAGACTTGAGGACAGAATATCTGTATAACAAGTGTGAACGTATTAGTGCCGGAGGGATCACCAGTGCACCAGACCTTGCTGAGCGAGATGCTTTCTCCGGTCATTGCACAACCTAATGAGGCCAAATCGACATCATATTAGTCCCCAGAGATATGATATCTGAGATTAAATCAGTTTCCACATTAGATAGGCTTTGAAGCACCGAGCAGAGAAGAGTTCATCCTATTCACTTTGACATAATTATACAATCACCATACCATATTTTAACTAAAAATAATCCCCTCTGAGTGTGGACTCAATTTTGAATTATCATTATAATGAAGTAGAAGAAAAAATCATTGACTTGTTAACACACAACAACAGAATTTTAAGAAAAACTGAGGAGGGTCCACTACCGTATTTATCCTGCAATAAGCCCAGGGGGCCAACACTTCATCTCAGGACTCTACATAAGAGTGGCGGGCTAATAACAGGACAATTCTTACTCTTCTGTCATACTGCAATAGACTTAGGTGGGCTTATTACCAGCTGTGGCATGGATACTTTGTTTCCTGTGATATTAAGAGAGTTATGCCCCCCTTAATTGAGTCATTCTACTTTAATAAAAGTATACTATAATTGATATCAGCAATACGTTGTAAACATCTAATATATTACAAGAACCTGGAAATTTGTAAGTGCCATGTTGTGACGAACTCATGATCCTTGATGTAATTATGTTACATACGCACATCCTCTACTACAAATGTGTATTAGTGAGGTGGCAGATTGGTTAAGGTGTTTGACCGTATAGATCTCTAGCCCACCACTAGGTCATGGGTTCGAGGCGTGGCAGTCACCAGGTACTGGTTGGAGGTCCGTGAATTTTTTCCAAGTGCTCCCGTTTTCGTCGACAACCACAATCTGGCTTGTCC